TTTTTACTAAACACTGTCGTTTATTAGTACAACAATACCATTGGGCCTACTCGCGGTACCGTTTTTAAATTCGCGGTGTCGTTTTACCCATTCGCGATGCCGCTTGTCGCGGTGCCGTTTTTAGCCAAACGACACTGTTTCCCAGTCTCGCGATGCCGTTGAGCTTTGAGGTTCGCGACACTGTTTTAAATTTAACACTGTCGTTTTAACTACTGCGGCATCGTTTGGCCTACTCGTGGTATTGTTTTGAATTAAACGACTCCGCTGATATAGCAAAAAAAAAATATTCATCCATGGAACCGCCGCCAGTCGGCGCTCGCATTGGGCTGGGCGAATTTCGGTCACTTACCCTATATGGTTTTTAATTAATCGGTACCGCTTATCAGGCTCTCGCGGCATCGTTTTTAAATCTGCGGTACCGTTTTAACTCTCCGCGATACCGCTTGTCTCCATGCGGTACCGATTTGCCCCTTCCGACAAGGAATAAAGATAATAATTAATTAGAAAAAACTCCTTTTCCAACACCCAACTAAACGTGCGGCCCCCTTTTGTTTTTCGGTATCGTTTCCAGTGCCGCGGTACCGCTGAGCTTCCTTGCGGTACCGTTTTTTTATTCCGCGATGCCGCCTGTCTCTCAACGATGTCGTTTTTTATCATGCGGCATCGAATTAAATGCCGAGACTCATTATTACGGCATTGAATTCATGCCAAAATTATTTTAGGTGTAAACAGTAAGAAGCAGAAAACTGATCATTCTCAACAACCTGTTGGAAGCAAAACAGAAACGCAGATCCACAATCATCAGGTTTTACTTTGTCTATCTTGTATTCAAAGAACAAGGCTGTCTATTTTTCTCATAATGAACCTAGCCATGGTCAGTAGAATGGATTCTAAGTGAGCATATCCTATAATTTTATATTTAACAAGTGTTTTTCCTTTTAGGTGGAAGATCAACCTCAAAGTTCAATTATCAGTCCAACAGAAGAGAATTTGTTTCAATAATATGTCCACACAATTGCTACAAGTATGGCATTAATCCTCTTATCTGTTGTATTTTATTATTTTAAAAAATATTAACAATAGCATTATTCTTATCTTAATTAATTTTACAGGATGCAATAACGAGCTCTCTTCTCGATCATCCACATCAGTGACAACATATGCTCTTCCATACGTGTCTCAAGTAGAATTAAGCAACACTAAGTTTGTTCCATTTTATTTATGTTCCAATACATTATTTGTTAAGACTTATTTTTAGTGTTTAGTGGGAATGTATGGTGTATCAGAATGTTTTATATGGTACCATATATTCACTGGGAACAATTTACTTTGTCTCAGGCTTAATTTTATGAAATTTTAAAATTTTCTCTCTTCACAAATCTTGATGAAAAAATAATAACAGGGTTGGGGTTCATAATAGAAAATCTATTTAAACATTAGTCTTTCTAATATACTCTAAAGTATTGATACTATTAGATACAAATTGAACTTGTATCATAATGTTAAATGTACAAGTTAATTTTATCTTTCAAAAAATATAAGCTCAATTTGTACCATACTAAATATTATTTTGTAAACCAAAATTTCGATATTATAAAATTCTCATTGGAACATTGATAAGAAAAAAAGATAAATTGAGAACGCAAAAGGAGTACAGAAATGAGAATGACACCAAAAGAATGCATATAGCTCAACCCAAAAAAATACATATTTCTCTTGAAATAAGTAGAAATGGCAAAGAGTATATAAATTAAAGGAATAAAAAGAAAAAGGGTTAAAGTTAAGTTTATATACCTTAAAAATTAGGATTTTCCTACCGTGAACTTGACGGTTCCGTGATCCCTTTCCGGTAGGTAAGCGGATGGCCCATTTAATAACTAAAAAAAATAAAAATAAAGAACCTATCATTAGCTTAATTATTTCATGAAAAAAATATTTGTTGTATGAAAATGACTACATTTGATAGACATGTATGCGATTTGAGAATAATTTGGTAAGTCTGTACACAACACATTTTCCAACAAACTATTATTGACTGCTTAGCATTATGTCTTATATATTTCAAATCAAACAACTTCAGATTCCTTACCAACAGTGTGGTAAAAATGAATGCTCTCTATTGGAAAAAACTTAAAGGACATACTAAACTCTATGAGACATTTTCTTTCATCCTAAAGGTTGATTATGTATGTATTATGAGAAGTAACTATAATATTCAACTATATGGTTTAATTAAGTAATGAATGACAATAAGTTATATTCTTTTTTTCATTTCATTAAGTATTCAGTAATTATATGTATGCTTATATTATATTTTTTTCTCTTTTCATGGAGGTCTAAACACATTATGCATAGTTGGATCACTTTCAAAAATGTTATGTGTATAACTAAGATAGAAAATAATCATTTCATACATTTCAATTCATCATATTCATTATTATATACCATATTTCTAGACAAAATTCTTCCGACCAATAGGCTGGATCATGTGCTAGTTCAAGTACAATGGATAATAAATTGTTATCGCCTATCATATTTTTTACTGTGGTTGATAACTCATAATTAACTACCACATTTTATAAAGTGGTTAAGTAACGAGGCTTGAATGTCGTTATTTCTTAGTAAAGTATATTTTTATAGGGATGAACTAGTATAGAATAAAGAAAGATGTATGATAAGAAAAAGGGAAGAACACCATATAGATACCTGCTAGGGGTGGTTATACGGTCCGGTCCGGTTAAATTGAACTAAATTGATTCGGTCCAGTTCGGTCTTTTTGAAAATATAAGGACCAACGATTGGATTGGATACAGTCCAGTCTTGATCCGTCCGGTCCCAATTCGGTCTTGATTTTATATTGAGCTTGTGTGGATTTGAGTGGCCTTAGGCCTGAAAGGGTAAGGAGTTGGTTAAGTTTTGTACTAAGTTCAAAGGTTTGTGACCGTTTATACAAATTACCCTTAAGTTTTCGGTGTTGAGCTCTCTTATCCAGTCTTTATCCAGTTTTCGATCCGGTCCCGAACGGTTTTTTACCTCAAATCTAAGACCAAAAATTGGATTGGATTGTTTACTATCCGGTCCCGGTCCGATTTCGGTCCGAGTTATACGGTCTGATTTTGGATAAAACCAAAAAATCCGGACCAAATAGCATACCTGCAAGAAGCATAGAAAGACCTATCCACAAGAAGCCGAACGAACAAAAACCAAACCAAAGCTAATAAACAGAGGAAGACCGATGTGTCCCGGCAATGAGAAGCGTGCCCCTGAGAGTAAGGATCATCGATCTTCTACATTTTTCTGAGGGTACTTTTCCTTGGAACTTAGCTATATCTCATAATCTTAGGGGGCAATATATATATCGAAATCAAGTTTTAAAATTTCAGTATGTAAATCAAAAAGAAATAAATAAACTACTCTGATAGGGGATCAGAGTAGTTTTCCGGGGGGGGGGGGGGGGGGGGGGGGGGGGGGGGGGGGGGGTTGAGTGAGCGTAAGAGAGTGATCTTGCCTAAAACTACAGGTCCAGCTCGTCTTGTCTGGGATCCTTCCCCCATTGCGGGCTAATTAGCCAGGTTTTCTATGAAGAGCTCATCAAGGAGAGCCCTTTCGCGGATCCTTACTTCCCGAAGAAGGTGGTTTGGAAACCCATTATTCCAACAAAAATATGCGTGTTCATGTGGCTCAGCTAGTTTATCAAGGGGAGATCCTTACACTACACATGATGCCCTTAAGAGGAGATCGAGGGTGGGTGTTGGCCAGCAGATAGATGTACTCTTTGTGGTGCTAGCGAGGAGACGATTCATCACATTTTTATCTATTGCACTTTCACTCGCGAAGTTGGAGGATATTGAGCGTGGTTAGAGAGGAATTAAAGCGTGGCAAATCAATTCGATCAACTCACTGTTCAAAGGGTTGGGCTCGGATGTTTTCCTTCTGCATTGGTTAGAGAGGAATTCAAGGACCTTCAGGGATGAATGCTTGTCTACGAGTAATGTCTGCATTGATATCACCCTCAATATTGTTGAATGACTGTGTTTTTTTCTAAGAAAATGGACAGAGGCATTGCAGATCAATGACTGCGAAATTTGTAGTACGTAAAAGTTGTAGCTGATGTAACCTAATGCTAATGCAAATAGTAAATAGTAAATAGAGGGGTTGTCAGTGAATCTGTTTGCTACCAAATGCTAATGCAAATAGTAAATAGAGCCAAAATTTGTGTGTCACAGTCGCTACTTCCACAAAAGTTAGAACTTAGAACACAAATGATAACTTGTGTAAAAAACAAATGTCATTGGTATTAGTCCTAAAAGAAACTAAGACCGGTATTGTATATCTTAAGTTAACTAGGGTTCCGAAAGTGTCATCCATGAATTATTTGTGTCCTTTTGTTTTCTCAAATTTAAAGAAAATATTGCGAATAAAATGTTTGGTGGACTCTTAATTTACAGATTCTAATTTTGTTTCGATAATACGCTTGCCCAGTCCTCCTACCCTTTCTCTACATTTAGCGATGGTCTCCTGGCCAACGCTAAACAACCATTAATCCTATATTACTATTTTCTTCGAAATCTCACGTTTTCATAATCCGATTAACGATCATCGAGCCCCCGCCAATTATATTAACTGGTTCTTCTTACCTGCTTCGCCTTCCATACATGCATGCAGCATTACATAAATTAAACCATCAGCTCATGATTACGTACGTACGTAAAAGGGAGATATATATATTTATCATCGTGTATATATATATATATATATATATATATATATAGTTTCTCATTTGCTTTATTTTAAGCACCGATAAACCAGTGCCTGGCTAACACTGTCCACCGATGCAGCAGTAGTACGTACTTTAACGACACATAAACGATACAGAAGGCGGATTTAATTTATAAGAAGGAATGCAAAGTAAGTAAAGTGGATAAGAGCCGCGCGCCCGCAGACATGGGCTCGGCTTTGGTTTTGATTTTTTGGGCTATGGCCGGATGGATGGATCGAGGTTAGAGTTTGTGGAAAGACATGGTGCAAGACGTAGAGGAATCAGTGGCGCTTCCGGTTGAGCTGGTGAGACAAGTACCAGATTGGAGGTGCCCCTGAAGACGGTTCATACAGTCTATGCATGACTGAATGTCTGACACCTTACACGTGGCTGTGCCTTCCACCTGGCCTGCGTAGTTGGTCGTGTACGGAGATCTCAACGGCTGGCTGGGCGTCTCTCGAGCCAACATCGTCACAATGTTTATGACGTAACTCCCCCACCCCGAAACGTCACTAACGGAGTCGTCGCTGCAACTCACGCTGGCTCCGGCCTTCCCGATTCCGACGCTCAATAAACATGCTACCACGGCCAAAGCTACAGTCGCCATGCCCACTGCTTTCTGATGACGACCCATGTTTCAAAAGGCCTTGATTTTGGGTTTTTTTTTTTTTTCCTTTTCTTTTCCCCGCCTCTCTTTTCTTTCTTTGCCTTTTCTTTTTGTGGAATATGGTGCGATGGTGAGCTATATGGTGGTTCTACGTACGCCTCCCTTTTATAGAGTCGAATTGTCATCAATTACATGGGAAGGAACAAAGTGGAGAGTTCTACGATTTTAAAACTTGATTTTTTATTTCATCTACAAGTTGTATTATTATTTCACATTCTGTTTTTATTGGACTTCCTAATCAAATACTTTGAATCATATAAAGTAATAAAGTGCAATGACGTACGCAAGTCAATGTGCTTAAAATAAAATAAAAAAGACCAAACTTAGCTCTCCGGCCGTTGATTCCCGCCCCATAATATTTTAGGTTTAATAAAGTGGATTTCCTCTATCTATATGTTCTCTGCGTTGGTAAATGGTTACTCGGTCCGCTCCGATAACTACGGTTAACCAATAACTACCAGTTTCTTAGTGTTTCGGTTTTGGTTAGCTGTATTATGCTAGTGGTTAATCGCTAATCGACTAATCGGTTAGTGTTTAATCGATACGAGATCGATAACTGTCTGCTAGTATAACCACATAGTTACGATTTTTGACTAAGGAAAAAAGTCTCAAAATTCAAAACTAACCAGAGTCGCAATCCCAATTTTCACTTAGTGCAAACAACCCTCCACTCAAAGTTATAAATGTGTTTAAGAGTCAAAACCCAAAAATCATCTTGTCTGACTCCCCTTTGCAATCGACAGAGGTAATATCCACCCTAGTAGTCTTTGTTTCTTTGATGTTTGTGGATGATGATGATCTTGTGGTTCTTGTATTTGATGTTGCAATAGTTACTATTCACTAATTAGATGAAGACGTTTGATTATATTTAATTTTATATATTAAAATTTGGATTTGGATTATGAATTTACGATGGACATTATTGTATTGATGTTATTTCTTATTATTAGTATGCTCTGTTAATTAATAATGTACAAGTGTAGTTAAATTGTTTTACATGTGGTTATGATTAAATGACACTTGTTAAACTTATTTGGAAGATGATTTGTGTAATACAAGTGGTTATTGCTTTGATTTATTAGCTTTTCGTGAAAGAAAATAGAAGTTATTTGTTTGATATTCGGTTTGATTAGGTATATTCGTACTTATTGGAAAGTATAGTAGTGTTTGTTGATTAACCGCAAATTAACCACTCACTGAACCAATAATGCTTATCGGTATGAGTTTTTTTACTTATTATATAATTAATCACTAATTGCCACATCAATTAGTAGTTAATCGACACTAAACCGATTAGCACCCTAATATTCTCTCCACCTCCTGCCATAACTTTCTACTTTTTTCCCCCAAGTTACGTGAATTGATTTTTAAGTAGACAGCTCATTGCATTAGGTGCAAAGGTAGTTTGAGTTAGCAGATAACATATTTGATTTACCTCGGCCGGACATATGCATTTCTTCTCCCGCCGATTGACATTTGGGATACCTCCATTCGGCGTCTCCGCATCTTTATTCGACTGTATAGTCTGAGTGGTGTCTTTTATTTCATCTTCAACTTGTATTATCATTTCACATTTGTTTTAATTATTAGACTTTTTAATCAAACACTTCTAAATGACGATAAAGAAATAAAGGGCAAGGACGTACGTAATTAGTCAATGTGCTTAACGTACAATTACGCAACGTAGCGCTCCGGCGGTTGATTCCAATTTCCATATAATTCTTTAGGTTTAATGAAGTGGATTTCAACGATCTATATATTCTCTTGGCCTCCTACAATAAGTTTATAATTTTTTTTTTCTAGAGAAGGAGTCTAAAGACATTAAAATGAATAAAATACAGCCATAATCACGGATCATTAACTAAGGGAGCCGGCATGGAATAAAATTTCTATCTACAAAAGGATTTTTTTTTTTGTTAAGTACAAAAGGATTTTTTAAAATGAGTCGAAGACGTTAACTTGGATTTTAAAAATAACATATCAATTATTATCCATAAATTTCTATTTATTTTGTTATATTTTGAGGAAAAATAATAGCCTTCAAAAGATGTGTTGGTTGTAATCTTATTACTCTCATATCATCATGATATGTCTGTGACACCACTGGCGGATCCAGGGATGGTCACCCCGGTCACGGGCCAGCCCTCCTCTGGATCCGGAGGTAGTATAGCTCTTATGAGTTTATCGATTTTAAGTATTAGGGTAAGTGTTATTTTATAATAAGATTATGTGTAATTGAGAAAATGGGTTAGATGAACATAATCAAATCACAACTCTAAATTTAGTCTAGAAATTCTAGCTCCAATGATTCTCTTCTAAAGATAAACAAACAATGTAACCTAAAATTCTAAGAGTCTAAAACGTAAAAGACTAAAAGAACTGAGGTATGCTCCCTTGAAAAATTACTAAAGCAGCTGGTGGAAATATGGATGAACACACAATACAAATTGACTAGTCGATTGATTTGTCTAGTATTGACATTGCCCATTTCAATAGCTACTATGGATAAAACCTTTTCAACAATGGAACAAGTGAAATATGATTTGTGCAACAAAATGAGCGATGAATTTCACATTGATTGGTAAACTATTTTATTTGAGGGAGATTAGTATGCTATTGGTATGAATGTAGACTTCATTATTGATGACTTTTCTATATTAAAAGAGCGACGAATACAATTGATATTATAAAAAAAACTATGATTTTTTGACAATATTTAATTTTCTAATGAAATGCGGCCCAGTGCACTACTATGTCCCGAATCCGCCATTGAGTGATACGATGACATATTTCTTTTTGTTAACTTTATTAAACATAGTCTATTCAACGATATCTATTATCTATATTTTGAAAAAAAAAAGGACAAACACAATGTTTTTTTCGCATCCATTTTAATTTGGTTGTCATAATCCAACCTAATGGTTGGGAAATGTAGGTGATTGGTCGCCAAAAATACAAATGACAACCAATTTCATGTGACTATTAGTAACCTACTATTTTGGTTGTTAAGTTTTATACGTGACTATTTAATTTGTTTGTTAAATTAACATATGTCAACCAATTGTTTTGGTCATGATAATTTAGAACAACTATGAAATTTGGTTGTGAAAAACACATACCTCAACCAATTTAAGTACTTTGGTGACCAATAGTTTTAGTTATGGAAGTTTAACGCAACCTTAAGAGTTAGTCACAAAAAATACATATGTTAACCAATCATATTATTTTTGGCAACTAATCATATTAGTTATGAAATTGTTATGCAACCATAAAATTTGGTCGTAAAAAATCCATATGCCGACCAATCATATTATTTTAGGTAAATAATTTTATTAGTTATAAAAGTTTAACAATACCATAATAATTGGTTGTAAAATATATGAATAGCGACCAAAAATTCATATGCTTACCAATTTGGCCAATTAGATTTTGGTCACTAAAATGAAATATTAAACATTAAATAGGACTATAATAAGAAATTATTTCATATAGCAAAAAAAAAAAAAAAATAGTAATACAATTACATAATTGTTTCCTTGGTAGAATCTCACCAAAGTAACCCCAGTGTTGAATGATGATGTATCACAACTTCAAGGGCTATCATCCTCTCAAGTCTCAAGTTCACTTCCACTTTAAGTTCCCTCCTGCTGCTGATGTAAGGTAACATGCAGAGAAGAAACAAAAGGAAAGAAAGTAAAATAAAAGATACAGAACTGAAATAAGAAGAAGATACATAACTGAAAGAAGAAGACATTTATTTGTCACCGACATCAGCACTCATAGCTAGGGTTTTAACCTTAACGTCTCCATTTGGAAATTAACTTGGTGCTTGGGCAAGGCATTTCAATTCCTGCAACATGCCAGGGAGCATAAGCATTTCTACTTCTAGTAGCACAGATGAAAAGACACTCAGAAATGAGAATGAACTAGCTAGCTCAAGCATCTAGACACTCATTCAATACGTATATCCAATTTCCAGCCTGCATAACAGGGCTACAGAGGCTTCCTAATTATATGGGGCCTAATGGTGCAGAGCCCTAATGCAATGAAAAATTTCTTTAACTGTGGGAACTATACACTCATAGTTAAAACGCACATCCTCATATTTAATCAATGATACCAAAATGTCATACTATTAGACCAAGGTATAGCATGGAGTGGAAAAAGAAAACTTAAAGAAAGGAAATGGTGAATGTGGATTAGTATATAAATTCAAATCCTTGTCTTGAAAAAACAGGGCAATCTCTCAAGGATTTCGAAACAAACCAGAATCAAAAGCATAAAAGAATAACCACAAATAGATATACATGATGGTTATGTGAACATCAACATGATTTCAGTGAAGGCATAAGTGAAGGAGAAAGAAACCAAAAACAAAAGAAGCATAAGACACGGATAAACCTTCAGCAATTATGCAATAAAACCACAGTAATTATATAGAAAAAGGACCAAACCTGGCAACTGGAGCTGAGGGTTATAACATCACATTCACAGCAACAGTTGCTCATCAAACAAGCTCTGATAAGACTGAATGAATCACAACAACAGTAAATTAACAGCTTCACTCGTAGAATCTGCCGCATACTGCCAATTTCATGGAGTTCAAATTATCTTACAACAGAGTAGCAACAAAACTAACGTAAGATAGAACAAAATCAGATCCAGTCTTGAACATCTTTGACAAATTATGGCATTTAACTTAATTGACCCAAACAGTACTACTAGGTAATCATGTAGCTAGCTACTCTAAGGATATGACTTCATCATCCATTTGGTTCATCACTCATACGATCAATAAGCATAGACAAAGAAATCATAAATCCCCACCATTACTCCTCCTGGTGTGTACATGAACAAACACAATCCCCGTCTTTACTCCTCCTGGCGTGTACATGAACAAACACAAACAAACTTCCAGATTCCAGATCTCTTGAAAAGGTGAAGATAGCTGCATAGACTTAAAGACAATAGCCATATGTTAACAAAGAGAGAAATAGCTAGCAGGACTAAAACTAGAATCAGCCCAAGTAACCTCCATGTAAAAAAAAAATTCTTCAATAACTGCATTAGCAACATCAACTTTTGTGTTCAACAAAATCACTACTTCAGAACACAGAAAATCAAAGGAAATTATGAATTGCTGAAATGTGAATAAGATCCAAAATGAGCTCTTAACTCTCCTATTATCAAATCTTATATAACGGAGAACAAAAATTTTGCTTGTTAAGGTATCATTCAAGAATAGTTGACCATCAATTATTCTTGCAGCAGTATTGGCATCCAACATTAGCATTACACTATCCATTCTCTAGGTCAAAAAGGAAGGCATAATTCTGGTCATGATCTCAATTGTGAAAATCACCTTCCCCAAAGAGCATTTAAAATGCACTTATTAGATCCAATACCTTTGTTTTAGCTTCAAGAAGATCATCAATATAACTAACCAGTACCATATACATGAACCATCTACTGATTAGCAACAACCAAAAGGAGTAAGAATAATTCCTTAAAATCCAAATCAATCAAATCCAAACACTTAGAACCCAAACATCATACGAAATGAAGAACTGCTTCTGTCTAGCTTCTCTAAGCTTCCGATTTCATAATGAAATGCATAATTAGATGGAGAATGGGGAGGTTCAAAGCATCACCGTTGGGTGTCTCAGGGAACTGATTGATACTTCTTGTTTCAGTCATTTTTAGAAAAACAGTCTCCGAGGCACAACTGTATCCAAAGCAGAAGAAAGAAACCACATTGTTATAGTGATCTCAAGCTATAAAAAAAAATAATAATAATAACTATCATCAACAGGCATGCAAGAGAGAAATTTCAGCTCCTATGCCTACAAAAAAAAAAAAAAAAAAAAACGAAAGCCAAAGAGAGACAAGGGGGTTCTTCTGAAACAACACAAAGTGCACAAACCCCAGGTAATCCATCCTGCAGATATGATAATCGGATAGTATCAAAACATTCTCAATGTGTCTTAGCTTCAGAATAATAAGCTATTTTGTACAAAGTGAGTCGATCACATCATCACCAGAGTTCGGTCTTTTCTAGAAAGAGAAAGACTGTCAATGTGGGTAACATAGCATAAGCAAAAGTTAAGTATAGACTGATGACTCACCATTTCTAGAGTAATCTAAAGAGCTGATGTAGTGGTAATTGCCTCTAAATTTTGTGAAACCAGTACACTATAACCTATTTGGTGCACTTCACTCACAATTACACAGAAACCAACTAAGTCAAGAAAGCATGAATTGCAACTCTAGAGAAGAAAGACCTGGAAACCGCAGCATAAAAATGGTGATGGAGAAGAAAGAGCTTTACCAATTTCAATTAGGCTTACTGGTTTCTATCCTGTCTCTTCCAGTACTCTTTTGTACTGCCTACAGTTCCAAACGTTCTTGATAAGCAAAGAGACAATGCAGAGGCAAAATGCAGCATAAAAATGGCGATGGAGAAGAAAGAGCTTGACCAATTTCAATTAACATGGTTCGTTTCATGGTAATTGGCTCATGCTGGATAGCTTACAAAGTAACCTAAATAACAAAAATGAATTTAACTCTTGAAACGCTTTCACCCACAGAAAGTAAAATGAAAACAAAAAGGAAGCAATCCATCCAAATCACCTCGAATTCAGGCAACAGATTACGACACTCGGTGATTCACTTCACTAGTCTCAGCTAAGGTCCCATCCTCGGATCAGACGGCCAACCACATGCTAAGGAGGATGATTCAGGATTGGTGCATTCAGAACTTAGTTCGGATTTGAGAGGATCTGACGCCGCAAGTCCCCGTCTCTGGCGACGATGTCGTCGCTGTGCTCGGCCGGCTAGGAGATCGAGTAAGTGGCTAGACAATTACGACTACTGGGAGCTGAACCAGATTTCGGTCGCGTCCAACGACATCGTCGGTGTGCTCGCCGTAGCATTCGACGGATTCGTGAGAGAATCCATGGAGAAGCGTTAGGTGGTTCGGAGGAGCTATTGAGCTCGATGATGAACGGCAGCGTCGGGGGAGAAGCAACAGCTCGCACCATCTCGCTTCGCCGGAACCGGCAAAAGCTCTACTCTGATTCTTGAAATCGAACGACAACAGAATCGCCGCCAAGCAGAATCGCTCATCGCTCTCAAGGATCCGGCCAAACCTCTACTCTGATTCTTGAAATCGAACGACAACAGAATCGCCGCCAAGCAGAATCTCTCATCGCTCTCAAGGATTGCTCGCTGCATCCTCGAAACAAGAATGAGTTGTCGAACATTAATTCTAGATCTAGAAGTAGCAAAGAGGGAAACGAGGGAATGAGAAAAGAAGAGAAGTTGGATTCAGAATCAGAAATGAGAATAAGAAGAAGAGATGAGAAGTAATAGTATAAATGGAATCGGAATTAAGAGGATACGAATTACGGAAATTGGGTAATAGGAAGAAGGAAGGAGAGAGGAAAGAGAAAAAAATTGAAGGCTGAGTTTTCTCGTTCGTTTCAATTAAAACAATTAACACTAGCACTGCCAAATTTTAGTGGTAGGCATATATTATTCAAAAACATTTAACATTAATAATGATAACCAAAAATTTAGTTGCTGAAAATTTTTATTTGGTATGCAACCAAATTATTTAGTTATCAAAGACTTTTCAATTTTTTTTGTTAAACTAATAACTATTATCATTTGGTTGGAAAAAATAAATATCATTATGTCACCAAATTATTTGGTTGGAAAAACTAAAAATCATTTTGCTTCCAAAATTATTTGGTTGGAGAAGGTGAAAAATATTTTGCTACCAAATTATTTGGTCCCCTTAAATTTTATTTGGTTATTAATATTTTTCTTTTAAACGGCAACCAAATTACTAATATTTTAGCTTCCAAAATATATTTGGTTGTAAATACTAGCCTTTTCGCAACCAATTTAAATTTGGTTGTATAGATTTTGGTTTCAAAAACTACTTTTTGTTATAGTGAGACTTACATAATATCGTTTTATAATTGTTACGTAAGATACAAATACATCACATAAGAACTACATAATTTAAGTTATTTCTTACGTACGTAACCTGTGTGTTGAACATGTTTTGTTAGACTTTGGTAAGGACTTAACAATTCAGTTAACTCATTGTCAACGAAAAGGACCGTTCATTACATAAGACTTACATAAAAATCATTTTAAAAATGTAACATAAGATATATAAGAGGAGCCCATTTATAATGCTTAGAAGTGTTGGTTAAATTTAAAATTACAAGTTCAGTTTGTACTACAAAGATTTTTGTAACATAGGTTGAAGTTGAATCACTATTATAATGTTAAAGGTACAAGTTCAGTTTGTTCATAAATGTTTTTGTACGGTACAAGGTGAACTTGTACCATAATATTACTTTGTTTGACAACTAGTGGGGTGCAAGTTCGAGCGAGATGCAAGTTGAGTGGTAAATTACTAGGCGGTGCAAGTTGGTGGAGTTTGTAAGTGGTGGGGTAAATTGTTGTTTGGATGAAAAAGTAGGGGGTGCAAATTAGTGAAAATTAAGTAAATTATATTATTACAAAATAGATATATAAAATTAATAAAATATTATCAAAAAATATTCACACATAATAAAATAAAAATAAATAATATTTAAAATTATTAAAAAATATAATTACATAAAATAATATTAAAGTATTAATGCTCAAGTAGTAATTAATTATAAATATTTACAAATAATATTGATGTATCCATATTACAATTGGTCGAGCAACCCTGAATGAGTATGCTCGAAGCCTAATCCGAGTCCAAGACATGTAACTAGCTCATGTCTCCCACCCTAGGGTTCATTTGTCGAAATGATGGTTAAACCGGAGTGAAGCGAACATTATCAAATCTGTTTTAACCATAAATTACCATCCTACCAGATTCCTGTGCTCAGTTTAACTATAAATTGGATATGGTCGAACTAAGTCAAACACGTTCGAACATGTAAATTTTAACTATTTGATCAGGTAATCTGAGCCAACCAAGACATCTCAATTCGACTTGACGAATCTTGACCCACTTGTTTCATCGAGTCAACAGTTGTAGCCAATTTGACAAACTTTCTTATCATATATCAAATGATGTCTCCCAGAATCAACACAACATTATTAGTTATTATTATTTAATCATTATAATAATTATTCTTACTATCATAATAATAATAAGTATCATTATAGCATAATGATTAAATGACATTGTTTAGCCACAACAATTATAGAACATAATCATACATACAATAAATAACAAAATATATATTAATTTTATCTTTTATGAATTTATCCATCCTTCCACTCTTTCTCTCTCCATTTGTACTCCAAATTGGGGGGTTAATGAGAATAGTGCATTTACAACACCCCCCTCCCCCCCCCCCCCCCCCCACAATTGCATCTTCATAATTATCCAAATGGGGGCAAATGCATTTATCCCCTAAGCTTGCTCCCCCCTCCCACTTACCACATTCCCAAACATAGTGTAAATGTATAGATACTACAGAGCATTTTAAAATTATTCACATATAAGTTGTATATAAAGGATACATACTTACGTAGGGTAAAATACCTCGGGCACCACTAAAGTATGTGAATTGGGGGGGGGGGGGGGGGGGGGGAGCTTTACCACTTAAAGTAAGAATGGGCATCACGTGCCACTGAACTCGATTATATGTGCACCCGGTCTCATTTAAGTTTACTATTATATGCATTCTGTTAAAGTTGACAGAATATTTTTTTCCAATAAGTAGTGATTCTCATTAAGCTCAACTAGGTAAAGCCAGAATCAAAAAATACAAGTTTGGTGAAACCCACCACCAGTACAATAACGTTAAGCTCCACACCTTACAACCCAAAATCACCAAACTTAGCTAACCATGAGTAGAAGAAAATGCAGGACCAAACTCAGGCCTACTAACCCCATACAGAAAAGCATCAAACTTAAAATAATCAAAAAGTATCTCAACTGTGCATTCAGACCCCCTAGAGCAGTATACGCAGCTAGGATCAACATTTCTCCCCCACTCAATTAACTTGTCTAGAGTGACAATCTTGTCCTTGATGACAAGCTAGGAAAGGAACCGATTAGCTTGCCTTCCTAGAATACTTCTCCCTGTGCTTCTTCAATCAATCTGTAGTAGAACCAAGAACGAAGTCTAAGTAACTTCTTCCAGGTCCAGGATCCGGTTTGAGTTTCTTTCAAATCCTAGAAATGTCTCTCTTGAAGCTCGTATTTATAGGTCCAAGCTACCCAAAAGGATCCACCTTGCATAAAGGAGCCAAATTAATTTCCTTACAGATGCCACATTCCATACAGTGAGGTCTTTAAGTCCTAAACCACCTTCCCTCTTGGGGATGGTAATCAGATTCCAAGCCACCTTAGCCTTGCCTGATCCATTGTCATGCCACAGAAAGTCAGAACACAGCTTCTGAACTTGTTTAATAACACTCTTGGGCAACATAAAGATACCTAACAAATATTGCAACACTGGATAGATCACTTACGCAATAAGTTCAAGCCTGCCAGCATAAGTGAGCTTACTAGCTCTCCACGAGTGAATTTTACTTATTATCTTGTCAATTAACATGTCACATTCTCAAACAGAAAGATTTTCATACCCAAGGGGAAGCTCTAAGTATTTAACAGGAAGTTGTCCTTCCTGGAATCCGGTTAAAGCCAAAGTAATGTCTATGGCTACTCTAGGGGTGCCTCCAAGATAAACTGCACATTTGTCTGGGTTGCACTTGAGTCCTGAAATTGATTAAAACTTATATAGCACACGTCTTATGAAAGTAAGAGCCCATCTTGGACCTTCTGAAAAAATTAACAAATCATCCGCAAAGCATAAGTGTGTTAAACCTATAGATTTGCATTGCGTATGAAATGGTAACTGAATAATAATAGTGGCTCTATTCAGCACGAGAGAGAGGACTTCAATGACCAATGTGAAAAGTTAGGGAGATAGCGGATCACCCTATCTCACCCCTTTACATGTTGGAAAAAAACCACACAAGCCCCCATTTATACAAATACTGAAAAAAGCAGTGGACAAACAAGTATTGATCCAATTGATAAAGAGCTGAGGAAACTACATTGTTTCCATGACTTGGAATAAAAACTCCCAGTGCACTGAGTCAAAAGCTTTCATAAGATCTACTTTGACTGCACATCGAGAACTTATATTCTTGTGTCTATATTTAAAGACCATTTCTTGGGCCATTAGAATGTTTTAGTGATGTTTCTTCCTTTTATAAAGGCTGACAGATTCCTACTTATGAGACTATGGAGAACTGGTTGTAATTTGTTGGCTAGTACTTACGAACCTTAAGAACTAAAGTGAGAGAAGCAGAGTTCATACCTTTAGGTAAAGTTCCTTTGGCAAAGAATTACAAGACACCAGCTAGTAAATCCTCGCATACCACACTCCAAGTCTTCTAATAGAACCTAGGGGTCGGACCATCAGGACACGGAGCCTTATCTGGATTCATTAAGAAAAGACGAGCCTTTATCTCAACAGCAGTAACCTGAGAACATAACACAACTCCCTCGTCTACAGATACCTTTTTGAAAATTAAAGCAGGCAACAGACCTGGGTCAGGGTGAACCTCCATATTGAATTTACCAAATAAATTTTGATAGAAAGAAATAGCCTCCCCAGCAATGTCTTCAACATTTTCAAGCACATCGCCAGAGTCTAATGTCAGCTGATTGATCATCTTCCTAGCATGTCTCACTTTCGTTGACAAGTGAAAAAATTAGTATTGGAGTCACCCAAAGAAAGCCACTGTACTCTTGATCAATGTAGTGAAAATCGCACTTTAAAGTTTAAAAACTTACGCTTTTACATTTCTAGGTCACCAAAACGCTTCTGCGCATAATTTAAAAATAATGTAGTTAAAACTGCGCTTTAAAGCTTAAAAACTTATGGTTTTAAGCTTCTAGATCACCAACACGCTTCCATGTCGAAACACGCTTTTGACTACATTTCTCTTGCTTTTATATAGAAAAGCTTTCCTCTGCTTTTTTCAATTGACGAAGATCATTGGCTAAGTTCTGCTCCACAGTAAATTTGCTCTCAGAAGAATTTTGAAGAGAATCCATTTGAGCTTTCCTATGCAACTCCATAGCTTCCCTGACTTTAGCACTAATATTTGCATAACATTCTTTATTGAGTTTCTTAAATTCTGGCAAATAACTGCTTCATCCTCAGAAAATATAGCTTCAACTCTCTCTCAGAAGTTACCCAAGTTTTCTTCATAACATCCAAATAAGAAGGATGATCCAACCACGTATCAAAAAATCTAAATGGCTTCGGGAATGACTTTGCTGGCAGGGTGGGTTTGATAAGTAGACCACAATGGTCAGAGAAGTCAGG